GATACAAAGCTCGATGGAAAATACTAGGAAAAATCAGTAGGAAGGTCACTGCCTTAGAGTAGCCCTATAGCTACAGTACCATCTCAGAGCTAAGATCAATGCTTTCAGGGGTCTTGGGTGTCCACTTCGGACTTTTTTTATTCTTCCTTCCTGCCCTGGTGGTCCTATACATTGATCAAGAAGGTTGCATAACAGAAGAGGCTATGATCTCCTTGTCAGTTGAGCTGTTGCTGGATCATCACATACCAGGAAGACTGTAGTGGGGGAGGAGGATTTTTATGTATGCTCTTGTATTGCTAGTGCAAAATCATTGATTGCTAATATCCCTTTATACTACATATTGCTCTCTTCAGGTTTGCAGTCTTGGGGTTTCAGTTCAAGAGGGAGGCAAAATGATTACAGGAGAGAGATAGCATTGTCTAACACCCAAAATGACATTCACAAAACAAAATGTAGGTTACACATAGGTGTCTGTACACAACACTAAATCTCTAGGCTGATCCATTGTTCCTCTAGTGAGACATGTTGGAAGAAAACGTGTTCCCCCACCTTTCTGCAGAGCATTGGGCATCTCCCCGGGTGGTGACACATTCATTGTTACCAACACTGAAAATTAATATGTGGAAGCATTTTCTGCTTCTATAGACATGGGCAGCTGGGTGAAATAAATGAATCACAAAATGCTAAGGAATAGAGCAATTACAAACAGAACTCATTTGTTATCTATTGTCCAGCCTCAGCAGTGGAGGGGAACACAGTCACCGGTGTGCCCTAATGAAGTGTGACAGGCATTGAAAGACTAAAGGCTGATATTTACTGACAGCATCACCATCTGAACGCTGAAAGTTGCTGATATCTGGACATCATAATCTGTTAAGGATTGTTGATTATTATACCTCCAAATTGCAGGTCACACACAGATCCTGGAGTTACATGCTGTCCAGCCTACAATTTTGTATGCAGTCTCATTACCTTAGCTAGGAGTTTGATGCTCTCAATGTGATCCCTGAGCACGTGTTTAACTTTGCAAACAAACAAACCATCGGTGCCCAGATATTCCAAGATGTAGATATCTGGAATTAAAAAAAAAAAAAATCTTTCCAGCCTGCCAGTAGGCAAAATAGATGTTAATCTAGTTCTCACTGGGACAGATGGAGCTATATAATCTGATTTCTAAGAGTAGAGGATTTCAAGGAAGCAAAGATTTAGCATATATAATATAAAGTAGTTCTTACAGCTTCAAAATCATAACTTAGCAGGAGTTTCAACAATGCTATTTCTGCACACAATGCAGGCACACAGAAAACTTTGCAGAATAAAAGATGCAGTAGCAATAGCTTTTTTGTTACCTATATCAAGGGAAAAAAGGCTACCTGAGACATGCTGGAACAGAGAGATTCAGATACAGACTGGAGGACCGATCTAATTTTTTTTTTCTTCAGGCATTTTTTTCAGGAAAGCTGGAAGCATTTGTTTCAAGGAAAAAGGTGACCTTAGGAGACAACAGGACAGGTTAACTGGAGTCAAAAAGAACAGGCAAAATGAGTGAAGGCTATTGGAGGTATTTTGTAGAGTTTAGTGTTTCCTTGCATTACAAAGCAGAGGAGAAAAGACTGAGGATGTAAATCATGTTACAGAATACACATGCCAATTTAGACCTTGAAATAAATGATATTTCTTCAGTCTGATACCCTGACCAGTGGTCTTTATTTCCAAACTTGTTTGCTAGACTACTGTGCTTGCACCCAGGGGCTCCTTTTACTTTTTATTTCTTAAGAAAGAAAAGGGGGGTGGGGGGGACCTGTTTTGCTTGCCCGCAAGGTAGAGAAACACTCCTGGCCCAGGCAGAAGCCCAGAGCCTTCCTCAAAGTTTTGCACCTTGGAGCCTGGTTTGAGATGTGCCTGCTGTATCCCATCGAGCTCCCCTAAGCACAAGTGATGAACAAGCTGTTTTCAGTCTCAGTCACTGATGTCTGAAGCTAGCCTTAGAAAATAGAAGGAAGAGTTTGTGTGCCTCCACACCTCTTGACTAGGTGGCATCCTGGTTTCACAAGGGCTGAGGAAATACAGAAGTTTGCAGGCTCTCATTCTTTCACCCTGTTTATCTGAGGGGAAGATGACACTGGGCTGATTCCTTTAAATTTGAGGGCCTGCAAGGACACAGTCGGAGTGCTCTCTGGTACCTCTGTTCTTTGGCTTTCCCATTGGATTTGGCTGTTGTTTGGAAGTGAATAAATGAAAATAAATAACTATATGAGCTGAAGAGAAGAGGTATAAAAGCAGCTCAGCATCAAGGGTCACTTACCCAGACGCTGCAGCTTCTGTTGCTCACTGCAGCTTCAGGGACTCAAACTGAAGAGACCAGTGGGACTGTCCCTCTTCCTGCCTATGCATCTAGGAAGCATCTAATGCTCATGAAAACAAAGCAGCTGCATAAAAGTGTCTGTAGCTCTGAGGAGTATAATGGGCGGTATTACAAGAGCTGATAACACAGATGTTTTACTTGAGGGTATCGGACAGCAAGTATGCAAACTTCCTCAGCTGGTGGAATGCCAGGGAAAGTATTTTATCTATCTGTGTCATGGCCGGTCTCCAGATCTGAAAGTCTGCTCTTTCACTGCAGTGTGTGAGGGAGAACACACACACACTCACACACACAGAAACGTGGTCCATTGGAAATCTGAAGCTAGACAGACCTAGGAAAGACCTTTCACAAATCAGGGCAAACTGCATCCTAGGGACAGTTTTTGCCTTGGAAGGCAAGAAGAAAGATCACTGCTTTATGGGCAGTCTGTCAGCAACAGAAGATAGGGGAGCACTGGCTAGCATAGTAGTCCTCCCTGGAAATAAACACATCCAGCGAGCTGTGGGAGAGGGTCAAGATCCTACCCATGAGACAAGGAAGATTTTTTTATAATATTCAGTTCCTCTGTTCTGGAAGCGGATGGCTTTCATAGTTCATCTTGCAGCTGAAGGTCTTCTGAATGAGCTGTTTCATGTGTAAGAAATAAAGGAAAACAGTATTAGTAAGAGATGTGTTCACCAAACAAATATATGGCAAGTGCATCTACTATAACAATTAGCAGCTAGGATGTATTCTTCTGGGATGGGTATGCACACACGAATGTATGTGTGCAAAGGACAGCAGCTATTCAGTCCCTTCAGGTAGCAGCGGATGCGTCATTCCGCCGAAGGATGCAATTCAAAATCTTGAATAGACGCAAGGAGGTAGCGTTTAAACCTTCAGAACAATGCAGTAATACTAACCTTCCATCTCATAACACAAACTAAGCAACTGCAGTTTTCCCTAGTTGCTGTTTCTAAATAGGTTTCAACTATAAAAACCCACATAGAACATTTTCTTTAAAGCTACCGGGATATCAGTTATTTAATCACTTTAGAATCAGCTTGGGTAGGTTCAGTTTCCAGTTTGCACAATAATTATTTTTCTCTTTCTGTATTTGAGCAGGACACCTGCACCCAGTTATTGTCATAGTTTTAATTTTTGTGATAATCTGCCCCACGTTGCCTCTGCTGTAGACAACCATGGAAAAAATCTCTCTTTTGCTCTATAACTTTATTTATTATGACTACTCAGCTTGAAGAAATATTTAGTGAAAGAAAAAACAAAAACCACACCATGATGGAACACGTAATTCCAGAGAGGTACTAATCAGTCACAAACTGAAGAGAATTATTGACATCTTAGTGTTAAAACTAGCAAGCTCATAAACAAAATCCAAGTAGCAAGTCACTGGAGGAAAAGTTATTAAAAAAGAAAAGCTGCTTATGTTAAGTAAACAAAGAAAATCTGCCTGGTCGACAAAGGCAGCTTAGAAACAAATGCCTTTAAAATATGTATCTATTTCTTAGTGTTCGCCAAAAAAAAAATAAAATACAGCTTGCATGCATCATCCTTTATCCCTTCTTAATACTTAAAGAAATTTTCAGCTGATTTGACTAATTTTGGTGGGGATAAAGTGGTCTTTAAAAATAGAAGAACCTATACACTTCAGTGAGCAATAGATTTCATGAAAGTAGCTACAGAGGTAAAGAAAAGAGACCTTATTTCTGGTCCCTTTCAAAGACTGCAGCATGAGTTCAAATCTTATTAGACCACAGAGAATCCCCACATTCTGGAAAAACTAAAAAACTGGAGAAGTTTTTGTCAGAGCTTATCTTTTACAAGACACCAAAGAGCCCAAATATGAGCACAGTGCGTTAGAAACCAGGCTTCATCAGTATTGCTGCTAACTTCTTTTTGAATCTCCAGGGGTTATGAGGAAGACAATACCACCAGAAGAAGCTCAGCTTTTCCCCCTCAGTCCTGCAAACTCTTTTTGCACAAGTTGATGCCTGTGTTGCAGGAACCAACTGAGAAATTAGGCCGCATCCAACATCAAGGTCTTCATTAGTTTCATTTCTTCATCAGACCTAGGTGGTAACCAAGAGAATAGAGTGAATCCTACATCCTTTCAAGAAATGGATTCTATGTCCATTTATCCTTTCCCTAAATTTAGATCCAACTTTTTTAGAAAAGCCTTAATAATTACACTAAGTCCTGTATTTGCCATAGCCACACACGTAAAGGACAACTTCTGCGTATTTCATACTGTTCATATGTCACATCAGGAGTAGCTACATAGATATTTTTATGTGCTTGCTATTGTAGACTTACTACATTCCCAGATGCCTAAAAGACATTGAGAAATATCAGCTAGACACCAGTGACTAGACACTGCAATTAAGATTTTAGATGCATGATTTTGCTGTTGAATATATATATTCAAGAATTTCCAATTCTTAACTATTACACTGTCACAGAATATTTTTATTTTTCTGAAATGGTAAAATGAAGATTGCTGTTTCCAAATTACACTTGTGTGTGTGTGTATTTTTAGAGCAGGGACTCCCAGTGTAACCACACAGAACCAATAAGCTTATGAATGGTTGTATTTAATGATCTCTTACAACTCCTTCTATGGCCATGTACATTTCCATTTAGGTTTTGCTGCTTTATAGAAGGTGATTACATTACACAGACTAGTCCCAGTACAGGAAAAAAAAATTGTGGTAATCCACCCTGAATCAAAATATAGCAAGCATAGGGCAGGATAGCCACAGACACCTGATTCTACTTCATGAAAACAGTTTCAATAAATGTATTTTTGCATGTTTGTGCGTACTTCTACTTACTCTTGGCAAATGCCAAAAGTTGGCAAGTTTAAATGCATATAGAAACAATTTGATTGCCTCCCACAGGTAAGATATGAATTATTTTGTTGAATGTTGCGTTTAACAGTCTGAACTTCACGAACACATTGCTTACCTGGTAAGAGATTGTCTACTGAGTCTAAACATTGCTTCCCTTCTTCTGACACCAGAAACCAGAGACATACAAGATGTTAAAACTGTCTTTATTCATAATCAGACCTGCATCACATCTCTAATAGCTTCTAGTCTATTTTCTCCAGAAAATATAAGTGAAGTTACCAGAAAACACTTGCCGTCACCATTTAGTAAGTATATAAGAAGCCAAGGGCCAAATTTGATTTTGTGCAATTCTCACACACATAGTGCAGATCTCAGCTGTGTTTACTGGATGCAGGTGGTGTGCAGAACATCCTTTGTCTATAGGAGATACTAAATGTGTGCCATAATTTAGAGATAGGTACTGTATAGATCAGAGAGGCTTTGTTTGGCTCTAAGGAAAGACTGTGCAATTTACACTAGACTATTTGGTTTTCCTTGATAGGAGACTGCAGAAAGCTTCTTCAAGGCTCTATGAGACTTTCTACTCCTCTTCTCTCTCCAGAGTATCAGACTTCTGACAGCGCTGAAGTGAGGGGCATGATTTTCTTGTTTAATAACAGTGTGTCAAAAAGGACTAGGTTGGTAAAGTGAGCACCTAGAACTGCACAGTGGGAGGAGGAGTGGAACAGGCTCACGCAAAATGGTTGCAAAAGCCTAGATTCACTGACTTTCAATGTTACTCTTTTTCTATATGATGGTTTAAAAGACTCAAACAGGCAAACAAATTTCCAGGTCACAATAAGATTACTAAAAAGTTGATTAACAGTAACATAGAAAAGAAAGACGTCTTGCAAAATTCTGGGAGAAGAAAGCATAAAAAAAAGTAGAATAATCCCAAAGGAATGGTGATTTTGCTGTCCTACAGCTTTCTTTCCTGCTAAACTGTAAGCAAGTCCATGGCAAACATCACTTTGCACCTTGGAGTCTCTCCAACAGGCTTCCTTTCCCTCAGCCACTGGACTTGCCTGCCCATCAGCCTCTGAGCTGAACCTTGGTGCCTGATCTGTTTCTTAGGCTCTTGGAAAAAAATGATGCAGTGACTGCTTAGAAAAGAGCCATCTCCGACTTAACATCAATTGATGAAGAAACTAGTGATAAAAAATGACTATTATGACAAACATATAGATGCCTCGAGAGCCACTACTTCCACTTTTCAAAACTTTTTTTGCTGGGAAAATTCACCCAGTAAGAATGACTACAGAAGTGAAGAACTGTACTTGCAATCCAATTCAGTTTTCATTATTGGAGGATTTAGAATAACTTTAATCATGTTGAGTTTTTCTTTGCATTTTAAGTGAGTGAAAGAAGATTGAGCTAGATCATTATCTGGTATGAGTCAGGGCTGTTCATTAAAAAAAAATGGAACCAGCAGAATTCAGAGGCTTAATATTACAGTATGCGGCTATTCATGAGCTAAGCCTCAAGCCATGAGAAAGAATCCTGAAATTGTTTAACACAAGCAGTAGGACACACTAAGTAATAGTCAATTACTTAAACCAAAAAGTCTCTTTGAGAAACATCTCACTGAATAGAAAAGTAATTACAAAAGTTTGTCTCCTTCTTCGCAGATCCTGCGCATCTGCTTCTCCATATTCTAGATATATTATTATAGGAATTGAGCTAAAGTAGAGCTACAAGCCATTTCTAGAATGAAATATACTGTCATTCATTTCAACTGTGTGATAGTGCAGTCATCGTTACAGTAAGGGAACATGAAAGTGAAAACTACATTTATTTAATTCGTATTTTCTGAAATATCATGGATTTCTTTAGCTATAGAGAGCATTTAAAGGGTAAGTCCTGTATTATCAGCTTAGTGCAGTGCTATTTAAGGTGAATCTACGTGACAACTGCAAATATCTAGAGTCACTTTACACCAGTATTTGGAAAATATCTACCGTGACAGAATTCAGATACAATATGTTTCCATTCTTCAAGATATTAATAAATGCAAAACCTTCTTTTAAGCCACTCCAGTGTTCACTTGCTGTAAATCAAGCCACAGCAAATTTACAAAACTGAAGGAAGAGCTAGACAACTGCATACCAGCACATCAATAACAAGTGTCTTTCAATAACAAGAAAATTAAAAGGAGTAGTTGAGGCACAAGTGATTTTTACGCAGAAGTTTAGAAGCATATCAAATAAGTAGACCAGAGCTTCAGTACTTCTTTTAACTTCTTTAAAAAAAGAAAAAGATTCTAGAACTACGATCATGATCATAGTCACTGTAAAGTCTTACTAAATTTTTTTTCTTCCTCTAGGGTGAAAAAAACCAAGACTGATTCATGGAACTTACCAAATCCACTTTATCCTGCCATTTCACATAGTTCGTGTTTAATCAAAACAAATTACAGACTCGCGTTTCAAGGCAGTCTGAAAGCAATCCCCTACCCTCAACAGTAAACTGTTTCTTCAGTGAAGAAAACCTCAGTGAACCCAATAACTCAGAGAAGAGTTCAGCCGGTTGAACTGACACAGACATTGCACATAGAAGCTTTGGAATATAAGTCCATAGCGTAAGAGCTTGTGCTGGAAACTACTTCTATAGCAATGATTATTGTTTCTGTTAAGAGGCACTGCGTAAATATGGAGTTAGTCATCTAATGCACTTAGTATCTCTCAGCTGAGGACTATTGCAGCTTTATTCTATACCTAGGTGTTGATTATACTTTGGTTTGCTTTATAGCAGTAACATTGCACTGGCAGTACAGCTGATACTAAGGAGAAGGCCGAAAATACTGTGGACAAGAGGACTGCAACAAACAAATCCCATACTTTACTTCTTTTCATGCTTCTTGGTTAGTTTTCCTCTTTCTAGCTGGAGACTCATGCTACTGTGCGTTCGCTTCTCCTTTTGCTGGCTCTCCTGAGACACTTGCTGCACTGCTCGCAGGATGGCCGTCTGCACGATCTGCTTGCTGGCGTTCTGTAGCCTCACTTCGTCCTGCTCTGGCCCTGGCTTCTCACCTGCCAGAGCCAAGTGACACACAAAGAAAAGGAATTAAGCATTTGTGGTTTCTCTGTGAACACATGAAGTCTAGAAGAAGAGGAAAAAAAATGGATGTTTGGGAACAGTTTACTAAGTAGGAAACCTGCTAATACAGAAGATGATGCAGTAAGGTAGAAAGCATCTAAGCTGTGCTCGTCACTACAGGGCTGGATGAAGGGGAGATCTTGATTCCTATAGCTCTGCTAGCCACTTCCAGCTTCAGAGACTGATGTGACTCCACACCTGAAACAAGTACATCCCTGTTGTGCAGTATGAGGAGGAAGGAGTTTTTTCTCATCCAGCTCTTGAATGACATATTTAGTTTTATAACTTGAGCTGTGCTTCTGGATGGGGAAAAGGGACTTCATTTTGCAGGTCTGACAGATTCTCCTTCACCACTATATTCAAAGAAAGCCATTTCCTTAACCTTTCTACTTACTTCTAATTCAAACCAAAACTCCTCTCCCCACCTCCCCCAGCACTGTCAGCATGAAATTTCAGTTGGCTTCATGATACAAAATTTTATTAAATGTCTATTGATTAATCCTTAACTTCAGAGATACTTGCAAAAACACTTTAAAATGTTCTGATTGCTGTAAGCAAAATAGAAAGAAAAACCACCATCAACAGTAACCTAGCAAATATGTATTTCTTATGAGGCACGCTTTACTGTTTTACAAATGTGCTAAAATTTGGAGAGGAGCAGAGTGATGTAGTGTGACTACTGACATTTGGTAATGAAGAAGAGTAGTTCATGTTAAGTGGTTTCGTATTTAGAAGTATTTTGATAACAAACAAATGATTTGGCAGGACAACAAAAATGGTGTGTAGTGTTCAGAGCTTGTCTTTATATACCTATAAAAAGAGAAATTTCAGAATTAAGGTATAGGCACCTATTAGAATTTAGGAAAATGTAGACTGTTGTGAAGGGAAATCTTGTTAGGTACTTATTTCCACCACTAGGCTTGCTTTTAAAGGTTTCCAAACTGCAGAATATTTACAGCATTTCAGTTTATTCTTAATTGACTCTGTTGTACTCAAGTATTTTATATCCAAGTATTTTGTTTCAACAGGATTTGTAGTTTATTGTGTGTTTTTAAGCCACATATTAAGAATTCTTTATGCATTGAAAGAAGTGAAAGAGTGAATTAAAGGTCAGCTGCTTTTAGCAGAGGTTCACATCTGGTGTTGTGAGAAATTCTCATCATTCTTTAAGGACCTTTGCATAAAAATTTAAGATAGACAGAAAAAGTAAAGCAATATGACCAACTTATCTTGTGGAAGACACTATAAAGTTCTGTGAGCCCATATCAACCACCAGCAAAAACGATCAAACCTTGCTTTGTGAGAAAAAGAAATAATTTGTGATCTCCAATTCTTCATTGACGGGACTTTAAAAACATACTTACTTCTATTGTTTACATATTATAGAAGTTTTGCTTACAAGTAAGATACAAATGTCGTTTACTTCTATTGAAAGGAAATACTTTAAAAAACCCACAATAGTACTGAGCTGACAAAATTTAGTCTAAGATTAAGATGCTAAAACCATAAAAACCTAAAAAAAAACATGTTATAAGCTGGAAATGCTGACAGATTGGAACCACTTGAATTCTTGGCAAAATCAGCTTCCCCTATTCACTTTGTTCCACTCTTCGGTAAGTGTTTTTTGGGTAAAATTCAGTGTCACTTAACGGTAAAGTACAGATATTCCTCTATTACTCAAATATGAATGCACTTTCTATTACGGAATGAATTAGGTTTCTTGCTGGGCTGAAAAAGACCAGACAACTCCAGCTGGTGTTCAAAAGAGTATTTGTTAACAAAAAGGATGGATAAACATTGAATTGTAAGTACCGGAAAGTATGTTGGAATGGGCCATAAGGTTACATAAAAATGTGAAAAATTTGCCAAATCCCATCTTCTTTTACCCATAAAAATCAGAATTTGTTGTTAAAACATACTGTCAGTAACCATAGTGGCCCTGAAAATTACTCAGTTGTCTTTCTCTAGGGACACTTCATGATTTATTTAGTTCTTCCCACTCAGTCTACAAAATCCGAACTTCACATGTTGTTACATTTAGAAGATCATCCATAGCAACACCCAAATGAAAATAAGAACAGTTTTCCAGTGATTTCTATCTGAGTTTTTTAGTTGCTTGTCATAGAGTAAAGCCTACCTGAAAGCACCACTCAGCTAAATGAAACCTTGCTTACATCTGCCCAGCTCCAGCTCATTAGATGATGCTGGTAATGTGCTAAGAAAACAAACCAAATACTGATAGATTTTTATAGGGAGACTTACCCAAAAGCTCTGGACTATTTCTGCCCTGCCTCTAATGGTTTAGGTATGCACAGAAAATAAAGAAGTCCAGATGAACTCTTAACAATTTTACATCCATATAATATGTTTTTGGGCAGAAGACCCAAAGATGATAGCAAGCCAGGAAACAAGAGCTAATTGGCTTTGGATATGGAGAAAGTCAAAGAGATTGGCCTGGGGTGACATGAACAATGAAGCCATTGGCAGCTTCTGCTGACCATCTAAGTCAGAATGCAATAAATAGTGACAATAATAGCTTGGGGGTGGGAGGGCATATTTAACACTATAGAAGTTTGAGGCTACCATAGATTAAATCTTGAAGAAAAGCCTCAGTCTGGTTGCACATGGGCGCGTTCTCATTTACACACGTCACTCTCTTCAAAGCATTATGAGTCACATCCTCTCCAGGCCCACAATCAAAGTGATATCCCATACTTTCTGTTGATATCCCCTGCACCCTTTCCTTTTCAGTTTGCTACAAGTTAAATTTAACATGGCTTATAACCACTCCTACTAAATAATACGCAGCAACTGGTTGTATTGCAGTGTTTCACCCTGAGTCAGCAGTTCATTAAGTTCTCTGCCATACCTTTGCACAGAATTTTTGGGAGTATAATCACGAAGCTGAACTGCCCAAGGTGTGACCTTGCTCTTACAAAAATGTAAGTCCCTCACACACGCACTGAAGCCTGGAATGAACTGTAGGGGGAACATAATACTTTCCAGGGGATACAGAATCAGATATTTTGCAGGAAACAGAAGCAGCGTTTCTCACATGGAGAGAAAGCAGGGGCAAAATGGTGGATAAGAAGTGATAGGAAAGAACTTCAGACTCTTGGAGAACATGGACTAGAAATAGTTTATCCTGGACTCTTTGAAAGATATTAGTCATGCATGCACATGCACGACCATGAATGAACATCCAACTTTATTGTCTCAGCAAACTTCTACTATCCTGAAGTTATTCCTTCTGCTTCCTCAGCTGTGCGACATTATTATTTTTCCCAGGAGAAAAAGAATGCCTTCAGTTTCAATTCCACTGTTGCCATCAAAGCATGTGACAGTTATACAGCTCATCATGTCTTTCTGCAGGTAAGGTCCACTGTGTGGCACAACACAAACTTTGCATTTGAACAAAACAATTTAGCTTATATGGCAGGTTCCATGAATCCCAAGGGCTGTGCATCAGGGATAAAAAGTTTATGTACTGTTTCACAGGAATAACAAATACAATTTAATTCCAGCAAATGCATACCAGTAAAGTTGTTCTTTTGGAATAAGGATTTTTTTTTTTTTTGTAAACAGCTTTGAGCTTAACCATATTTAAAACTAATGACAAAATTCATATTCTTCTAAACTTACCTTTGAGCAGTTTAGGTCTCACAATCACACAAGAATTCATTCCCCTCTCTTAGCTATAATTTTAATTGATGTAAAATTTCAGAAGCTGAAAGAGCCATGAATCAAACATTCTTTCTTCATTTTTACACCGCATTATGCAGCTAATGAGAAAATTTACTACTTATTTTATGAACATATTGCATTAAATTGGAATACTTATTGGTTAACCATAATGCTATTTTCTGCAGCATTGCAATATTAGCATTATTTTTTTCCATGCTTAATTAAGTTTGAAAGACAATTCAGCAAAAATATTGCTCTTTAGTAAATCTATTTCAATCCTATTACTACTATAAATTATATAATCCAACTGACATTACTAATGAAATTTTGCACTGGAATGGAAGTATAGGTAAGCTGGACTACGACGAGACGCCTTTATCACAAGGGTCAGTGTAGATGCACAGGAGCTGTATTCATGGAAGAAATTACAGGATATTGCCCAAATAGTGATAATAAACACAGTTCTTTCAAAAAATTGAAGAACCTGGCAAGTTTGCGGTGGCATAACATAAATATGTATTGTAGTAATTAACAGTAACATCCTTTACATCAATATAGATGTAAAGACCATGGAAGAGGAATTCATCTGTATCAGGAAGAGGCTCAGCCCAGACTACTCTTGAAAACAAAGGATAAGAAAGAAGCAGAAAACACCCTGCGGCTCTGCAAACAAATTCACTTCAGAGGAACAGAGATGGAAGGGGGAAAAAGAAGATCGGAAATGTAGATAAACCGTCCCAAAGGAGAGAATATTACCTCCAAAGTAATACCCCATCATCTTTTTTAATGCATTTACATCCATACATTAGTTCTATCTAACCTGAGCTTTCATAATTTTGTCTGCTGAAGTTTTTCTCTTTTTGAAGTGAAAAGAATATGTAGGAGTACCATTGGTCTGTTTGCTGTATCAAAATGATCTTCTTAAAGTCTCCTGTGAATTCTTTCAGGCTACTCGAAATATGGCAGCCAAAAGAAAGCTTCTAGTGTTCTTAGGATTATGGGCTTGTTGCGATCTACAGATACTTTATCTATTCTTAAGGCTTTTCTTACCAAATTTTACTAAGGTTAACTAAAGACAGGGTGTACTCTTCAATGTACACATCTTCTAGGTGAATATTGAAAGTCCATATAGGCTAGGTGATTTGCCAAGAATAAATATTTAAGAACATTGCCATTACTGACTAGACAGATTAATTGCTTATAGCAATAATTTTGTTCTTTAAGGACTATATTTTTTCATCTTTGAAGA